GAGTATCAGAAGTCGCCTCACTGATAGAAACTCCGATCGCGGCAGCGGAGCTGGAGTCCGCACTCAAACACACACACACCAGTAAAGCCCCTGGCCCAGACGGCTACTCTTTGTCGTACTGTAAGCAATACCTACCAATTCTTACCACACCATTCCTGACCGCACTTCACTCTATTCTTGAAGCCCGGCCTCCACCCGAATCTCTTTGGGCACATATTACGGTGATACGCAAGGAGGGTTAAGACCCAGCCCTCTGCCCTAGTTATCGACCTATATCCCTCCTCAATGTTGATACTAAACATTTTGCCAAAATCCAATACCACAGACTAATACCACATTTGGGACAACTCATCCATCCTGAGCAAACCCCGCCAGGGTTGCCCTCTCTCGCCCCTCCTATTCGTGCTCACTCTTGAACCTTTACTGCGCACGTTTCGAGCAAATTCAGACATCCGAGGACTCTCAGCCGGATCCACGACCCACAAGGTCGCCGCCTTTGCGAATGACCTATTTTTCCTCATATCCCCGGATATCTCTATCCTCCTTCAGGAACATAAAACATATGGAGCACTCACGAATTTTCGCATTAACTCCCACAAATCAGAGGCCCTTCATATCTCACTCACGGGACCTGCCCTTGGCAGAGTTCTCCAAAACTTACCATTTAAATGGGCCCCCAACGCCATCAAATATCTCGGCATACTACTGCCAAAGGACCCGTCCCTTGCGTTCTCATTGAACTTTCCACCGCTACTATCCCGCATTAAGTCAGACTTAGAGACATGGACGAAAAGTACCTTCTCATGAATGGGGCGGTGCAATATCCTAAAACAGTCTATTTTTCCTCACTTACTATACCCTCTCCAAGCACTGCCGATCCGCATACCCGCATCCTTTTTCCGCAACATCCGAGCGATTTTTAGGGAATTCATCTGGAACAGCAAACCACCAAGACTGAGTTATGATGTGTTACGGAGACCCAAGAGCATGGGAGGGATGTCCCTAGCTGATGTACATCAATACTACATAGCCGTGCACTTGACACGGGTAGTGGACTGGTGCTGCAATTCTACCTCCAAACTCTGGGTCCTCCTGGAACAATCTTTCTCAGAGTTCCGCTGGCCAACCTCCCCTGGAGTTTGTCTCCATCTACTCCACCCCTGCAGGTGCATCCCACCATAGGCCCTACACTGCAGCTGGCACGCTCAACCTTCGCCAAGGATCTTCTATCTACCACCCCCTCTCCCCTCCTTCCTATACTGGATAACCCTTCGTTTCCCCCCGGTATCGGCCCACATTCCTCTGCGGAACCTGGGCGTCTCCAGGGCGTCACATTTCCTGACTACTCCGGTGTGGCCCTCTGCAGACGCCCTTCGCACCCAACCGGCTGTTGGACTTCTGGTCCTCAATGCGCTTATCCCACTTCCTACACACCATCACACCGATACACAATGTAAAGAGACCTCTCACCCCCTACGAACAGATCTGTACTCAGACTGGCTCCCCCCGTCATGCACTCTCCTTTTGCTATCAACAACTCCTTCAGTCGCCAGAACCCCTGCAACTGTGGTTCATGTCGAGATGGGAGGAGGACCTGCAGATTACCTTTACACCGGAAGGCAAGCCCTGACCAAATTGCTCACTCTCTCCTACCGCTCCTCTATCAGGAATCAGGGTACCAAATCGCCACCAGGTGGTACCGCACACCCCAGGCTCTGCACGCCCTATTTCCAGACGTGCCGGACCTATGTTGGCGATGCCAGCAGCCCTCAGCAGGCATGCTCCACATCTTCTGGACCTGCCTGGTGCTTCGGCAGTTTTGGGACGGGGTACACGCTCTCGCTCAGAGATTCACAGACGCTCAGATCCCCTGAGACCCTGCATTCTTCCTCCTGCATCACAACGCCATCCCTATGCAAGCATATTCACACTCACTCACTAGGCACACAGTCAACGCGGCCCGGGCATGTGTCCCAGCTTTCTGGAAGAAACCCGAGCCCCTACAGCTCAGACAGGTCTTAGACCGCATGCACGATATTTACCTCATGGAGGACCTAACGAGCTCCCTCAAACACAGCAATACTCAGTTCTCTGGTACCTGGCTCCCTTGGATGGAGTTCATGAGCCCCCCGGAATACCTCACGCTCTGATAGGATACGGCTACATGCAGCTGGCAACAGTTGTAGGATCCGTCTTCGCCCTGTTCTGGACCCCTCTCCTCCCCTCCCCCCCATACCTTAGCAAGACCCTTACCCTCCCCATCCCTTGGTTCCCCCTCACTACCTTATGTAACTCTCACTTGCCAATAGCTTTCATGATGCTCACATCATCACAAGGTTATCCCGTCCATTTATGTTGCAAAGCCCCACTACACCCCAGCAATGACCACGGGACACCGAGTTACCCAAATCCAGCTATTCAGCTCCTATGTCTCGGAGAGGGAGGGACCCCCCGTGCTCACCGCTCCCACTGCCCTAACATGGGTCGCCCCAGGGTACCAACGACCTTCTCTTGCGTGGGGGGATCTAGTCCCCTCTTACCACACTCTTGATGTAAACTGTCGCATTATGTTTGTTCAAATCACTCATGTGTTGCAATGTGTATGAAACGTTTTATCGTCATAATTACTGCATTACTGTACGTGAATTAACCCCATGTGCATTATTTCATATTGTGTTATGTACAACTTGGATAAAAATGAAAAATCACTTCTCAGAACAGGGTCACCTAGCACAGATTATATGACGGGATGAAAATTAGAGCCTCTATAAAGATAGCTTGTGTCCAAAGTGCTTATCAATATGGCAAAATGTCACATTTGCCCGCGTTAGTACTTTAACATCTTTAGTTTTTATTGCCTTCATTTGTCAGTGCTATGGGGAAAGTCTGAGATTTAGATAATGTCACCATGACCTTTGATAAGCAATTTTCCTAGTGAATGCCACTACAGATCTTTCTTGAAAAAGAAAATATTTGTGTTTTATTTAAAAGCAAACCTGTAGTGATACAAATACACATAAGCATGACATGAGAATATCCAAATCTGAAGATAATCTGATGTGTATGAGGTGGCCTGACAGTTCTCAAGACAAAAAGTCTTTATAAGGTGTGTGGGCATAGCCAATATATGTAGTGCAGTAGGGGTGCGATGTATACGGTGTGTTTACACATGATATAGGTGCAAATGTTCTATATGGGAATGGGGGTGTTTTTGTTTGCGTATTTGTTTTACTTCACCTTATTACTGTCAGCAGAAGCTAACAAAGGGTGCACAGATATAAGCACATTTGGCTGCCACCATGCAGATAAAATGACATATAGAACCAAGGGATTAAAAATTCTTGAAAACTTTAACAGGTTTTAAATTGGGCCGAGACTCAGGCAACTTTATATGAATATTATAGCACTTATAGTGGACATTCTGCAGCTTTTGAGGCCACTTCATCCCTTTCACAGTGGCGTGCGGCTGTTGAGCATTAGGGCCCTGGCCTCAGTTCACAGGCCCTTCCTCTAGTTTACCAGGATCTTCTGACATGGGGTTGTGAAACATTTTTGAAAGCAGTGTTTGAATTGTAAATAGGATATCATGCAGTGGTGTACTCTTTGCTAATTACCCATAATGGTATAATATGGAAACAGTGCTTCCAGGCACAGGAAGTGTGCATACACATGGGGGGGGAATTTATCAACACTGGAGCAGACAAAGTCTAGAGCAGATTTGCATTGCAACCAATCAGCTTCTCTCTCTCATTTTCAAATCCCAACCAAGCAAACTGAAGAGAGACGCTGATTGGTTGCCATGGGCGTCTGCTCTAGTTTTGATAAATCCCCCCCCACTGTGGTTTGATCATCTTAAAGTAAAGCTGTGCCCAGTTCATACATATTCTGAACAAGGAATAACTGTGCGCCCTCATTCACTTCTCTTTGTACTAAATAAACATGGAGAAACTTAATTTTCAAAGTTCACAACACAGTTATTGGAATATTAAGTATGAGAACAGACCCTGGCAGGTTGTCAGCGCTCTCATGTGCTTCTGAGCCGTTAGAAACACACTGAAACTGACTTTTCTTTCACTTTTAAAAATGAAAAACGTCACATTAAAAGCAGTGGCAGTGTAACACACCACAAATGAACTTTGGTATATTCTATATTCAGAATTGCAACTCAATGGGGTGAATGGGCCCTAAAATAATACATGGCACTGTCACATGATCTCTCCCATGACATCCATGCTTTTACATTATAAATGATATGCTAAAGGTAATTTTTTTTTCTTCTGATTGCTTCATCACTTCAAACTGTGCTAATGGACCCGTCAGATTTCACTATAGGAGCATTTGCTATCTTGTTCCAGTATGCATAGTCCATTTGTACACTATGGCAAACGTCGTACAGCTGAGTGTACCATCCTCCCGCAATAACTACTTTGTGTTCTCTGTCACCACTCCAGTGTGGTCCTCTATGATACATTATCCTTATTCAGCTCCACAAATGATGGAGTTGCATTATGCTGGCACTTGGCTCCACACTTCGGCACCTTCCAAATGACAAGGGCAGTGCACATGTCCTGCAGGCAGTACAACAACAAAAAATGCGGCGGATAGGACAAGCTTTTTTTTTTTTTTAAAACTTCAGTTACCCTTTAGGATAACAATCACAAATATATACATCAAAATGCTAGAACCTCCTAAAATAGGAGTTGGGAAAAAATATATGAATATGGTAACAAGAGAATCAGACATCAGTTACAAATAAAACTCAGTCTTGTTTGCAAAATCATATTGCCAGACATATTCCATCCACATCACATAAACTAGTATATTTATAGGGGCATTTCAGACCGATAACTCCCAACATTCAAACCTTAGATATAAAATGTTAAAAAAAAAAAAACACCCCTACATTTTTAAAAGGTTTTCTGTTCAGTCCAACGAGATAAAAGAATCTTCACATTCAGGCCACACCTTTTTACAATGTAAACCATGCTGCAGATGTTTGTAACTAACCAATTAGTATGCGCAACTGGAATTACCATTCGAATAGGTATATATTAATTTGATAAATAACGTGGGCTGACCACCCTAGTATAAAAACAGTATCTAACATCCACAGAGGTCCAGCATCTCTCAGCGCATTCCAAGTATCTGCCGGCTTTTCAACTGATAGTTCTTCTCCAGCTCACTCAGGGCCTGGGCACGTATATTGGCAGCTTGCAGCCGCTGCTTTAACTCTATGCACTTCTCGTGAGTAGGGGGCGGTTTACCCCCACTACTACGGTTCTCTTTACTTTCAGTGCCAAAGTGGGCATTCTTCTTACTCCTTATGGAAGATCCGAGATCTGGAAAAGAAAGGAAGACATCATGATGCAGTTTAAATCAAATACAGTTTTAACTAAAAATACAATACAAGGACACATCTCTGCTCTTGTTAAACCTATAGCACAACAGTTTCCTTTTCTGTGTAACCTAAAAGATAATCCTTGTTAATAAAATTAAAGATCTCGTCAGATTACATCATGTAGTTCAGCATAAGTGTCTAGAATTGTTTAAAATGCATGTAGAGCCAAATAAGTTTGCTTTAGTTGTGGACAGTGTGGGAAGATTAGAACCACAGCCAGGTTTTTTTTTTATTGCTGTGTCTCACTGGGGTAGATCTATTCTATTAGTCCTAGTCAGACCATTGGCAACGAAAAGTAATGGAAGGAAACCCCGCCCCCCCCAACTAAGGATAAGAACCTCAGTAAAGTTTTTAACATTTTTAAAAACAAATGTTTAAGTGATGGAATATCCAATATTTTACAGTTATCCCCAGAACAGGAGGTGAAGGGAAATCTTCCAATATAGACACCTGCTCTGATGACAACTGCCCTAAAGGAGAGTTCCCCTCACTTTGTAAAGATTTTCTCTCAATTCCTATTGCATCTCCTATCTGTTTTCCATCCAAAACTAAAAAAAAAGTTCTGGCTTTAAATAATTGAATATAATAAAATTAGATCTTTTTTCTTTTAGTTTAAAATAGTTTTCTACCTTTAACAATTCCATAAAAATGCCTCTCCTATAAATCACTAACACCGGCCACTCTCCACTTGTACATGTAAAAAGCCCCTCATTCAGTTAGTTATGTGCAGTCTACCTACAAGCAGCTCTAAGGCTACGGAAGCGTTTATGTGATGTAGCTCCAGTCTTTACTGTATAGAACTTTGAAGGGGTTTTTCACGTTAGCATGAAAATAGAAAAGCCATTCAAAGCTTTTTGCCTTTGTGAGAATCAAAGCTTCTCCCTACCAGTAGCTCAGCACAAACATATGCAGGAAAGGGATAACCGCTAAGATTCCTAAACCGCGACTGAGGCTTCAGAGAAAGACAAGAACGACCCTAGTAATGGGCACAGAGTCATCATGTTTACATTGTTGCCAGCCAATAAACTCATAGAGGGAGTAGGATTAAAAACAAGCACGTATAGATTATAAAAGGAGCATGGCCCTTATACATTCAGAAATTGGGGAATGGGCATCTTCAACTAAAGCCTAACAACAAAATATCTTCAAAGTAGGCGTCTAGGCTTTTTTTTTTCCCCCCGCCAATGGAATGGTGTGGGTAAGACAGTTTAGAACTGTCAGGTTTTATCAGTCTGTACATGGGAGATGTCTCTTTTCTTCCTGTCATGGAAATAAGCAGGGATTTGAGATACTGCTGGACACACAGGCAGCAATATAAAAAAAAGGTACACATTCCTAATAAATATAAAAAAAAAAAAAAAAGAAGGGGACCTACAACTGCCAATGACCTCCTTCCAAAACATGCTAGTTGTCTGGGTATTGAGCAGAGAAAGACTGACCTGGAACAAGTACACAGATTAGGAAAATTCAAACACTCCATCTGCCTACTTGTTCTGGATTAGTAACTCCCGGCTGAAGCCAGAAACTAGCATGAAGGTGGCCAGAAATGGCAGCCTCTACCCATCCCAGAAGAGAGGTTTCCTACAATTTTGCAGCAATAGCATCCATAAACCACACTGTGATATAACACAGCAGCTATGGAGTTTACATGCCAATTAACTTATCCCACTTTAAATACAATAAAAGACACCAGAAAAAGTAATTTATTCAAAATAAATATATACAACCTAAATCAATAGCAGGATTAAAAAGTTCATGATATGCACATATAAAAGTTAAGGCAACTGGTAGTTTTGCCAATCTATTAAAGCTTCCAGAGGTTTCCTGTTTGCTCTCGTACCTAGACCATTCTCCATGGCAGCTCCATAGATGCGCTGCTCCTTCAGCAAATTGAAGTTCTTCATCAAGCTTTCAGCCCTGCAGAGAATGAAAGAGTGTTGTCAAGATTAATTATGGTCCTTTGCCTATTTGTGTGCCATTTCAGAGTTTTCCCCTTACTCCCTGTTATGTTGCTATAACAGAAAACATTAGATTGACAGCCAGAAAACCAGCATTTCCATTTTTTTTGCAGAATCACTGTAACAGTACTAAGCTTTTATTACTTTAAAAAAAAAAAAAAAACACAATGAAGAAATATTACAGTGGGCATGATCTTCAGCCCATGTGATGTCACTAAAACTTGCAGAGGAGATGTGGCTGCATCTAAGTGCAATGGCCGCTCTTAACATACATTCACTGCTTATAAAAAAAAGGTCCTAGCCCCTAGAAATGACAAAGCTTTCACTGGTTGGAAGCCTTATTGGCCATGTTATAATCACAAGTATCCTTGCCATGACTATATGCATCTTGAGTTTGTGTTTTACAAATGTTAAACACACCAACCTACCTTGAGAGTTTATCTTCTGCTAGCCTCTCCCGTACACACAACTCTCTTTCGCGCTCTGAAAGAGATTCAGAATAAGAGAGCCGTTATAATTAGGAATATGATCAAAGTGAAACATCCTCATTTCGGAAGGAGGGTTGATGCATGTGGAGGAATAGATGGGCCACAAACACTTGAGAACTATGGGGTAACCATTTTATCCCATAGTTCTCTTTAGGGTCACGGGAGGTCATACACCAACCTCCTTCCGTGACCCAAAGCTCATGATAAGGCCTGCTATATACTGAGAGTGCCGGCGGCAGGACGGATCCTGACAATACTGTCGAGATCCATCCAGCTGGCTGATTTACAACAGGCTCTGCCTATCTATCTAGAGCCTGAGCCAGCTGTACCCACCGCCTCCCGTCTGTCCCTCCAGTCAGCGTTGGAGGAACGGGGGGGGGGGGGTTAATTCCTGCAGTCACCACTCTCTGCAGGGAGTATGTGTTCACTCACTTCCCGATCAATAGAGCCGACATGTGAGTTTCATTGTGAAACGTTGGCTGCAACTATGAGGATGAGTGTAAATCACTCACATGATAGTTCTCCTTTAACCCTAAGATGCTTCCAGTATGCTCACATTTTTAACCCAAAGCTGCTTCCAGTGTGCTTACACTTTATGTACCCATACACCTCAGTATAAAATTCCTTATACAGTTTCTCCATTTGTGCTGCCATATGATAAGTATTTAAAAGGTTTTTCCAGAGTATCCAAGATGAACCAGTGGTTGGGGGTTACTAAGGGATGCAGTATGCCTGACTGGCAGTTTATGTTAGGGCAGATCCAGTATCTTCCTTCCCTCCCATTATAAGGAGGGGTCCCAAGGTATGCTGATCAGCCATGACAGCCAATAAAAGTGAAATATAGGGGCTAAAGAACATACTAGAACATCACTTAGTATTACTCAGCCCACACTGTCAGTGCCACACATCCGGTGCTGAGATCAAGTACCTGCTGTAGAACACTGATCACAATTGGTTTGCTTGTTGTACCCATCCTCCATTCAGAAAATACTTTTGCATTCTTTTCACTGAATAAAAAGGTGTTCTGTGATTGGAGGAGGGGAGATTATGACATTCACCCACACCTCTTCCAAATCACAGAATGCAAAGCAAGTCCTTTCTGAATGGCGAACAGGTACAGCAACCATCCCACTGTGATCAGTGTAATACAGCCAGAACTTGAAAGCTCAGCACAGAAAGGCGAGAGCGGGCTGAATGGAACTACGAGATTTAACAAATGCTGCAGCAGCCAGATATGGGGCACACTTCAAATCCCTGCTAATTTACTTTTACTGTGCAAACATACATCTGAAACTAATCTTTGGTCAAAAACAATCTTTGTGATACTAAGTCAGAAGTTAATAGCTAAGGTGCTTGAATTCATTAACAAACATGCATCTTATTTGTGTATCACTCGGCTGTAGATCCTCAAATCATCTCTGAATTGGTGCTGACACTGTCCTTCCTTCTGGAGGGTGGCTACTTTTGTTCCCCATGGTCTCCGTGTATTGTAAAGTAGCCACCGCTCCAAACTCACTCCTGTGATGGAAGTAAAGTCAAGCCTTCTGCAATTGCCATGGAAATCTACACTATGCGCACATTGCCTATTTCTAAAGTCGTCTTCTTCTTAAATGGACAGGAATGCCCTCGGGTCAACACAACATAAGGGGACTTAATTACATCAAAAGGGATACCTTCTATTTCTCACATTACAAACTTACGCTCAAGCCGATCTTCTCTCTCTGTCAACGCCTTTTCCCGCGCCAACAATTGCTGTTCCTTTAATCGGAGATCAGACAGCGTAGGATCTGGAGGATGCACCCGCTCCGGATCAGCAGATTTCCTGACTTTTCTCTCAGATATTCTGTTTTGTTCTTCCACCACAACGTCCGATAACAGAACACTCTGCAGAATCTCTTCAATGGATGGTCTCAAATAGTCCTGCCAGAAACCAAACCACTATGTGAAAAAAAAACAACTTACAACATCATATGAAATTCTTCTGAAGTTTACAAAATTACATATTCTGCAATTCACTAGTTACATAATATAAGCAAGTGGTTGCCAAGCCAGTCAGTGATCAGATTAATGTTACATTAAATGCAGTTTTCAGATATAGTGCATACTGGAAGCTCTACACTCTATATAGTCTTCTGCTATAAAAAGGTCAATAAAAAGCACCAAATTGCCTTTTTCAGCTACTCCCTACTGGGCAATGGCAGCACAACACTGACAACGACAGAGTCCCATCTAGAGACCAGTGTATTTCATGGTGCTCTATTAGCAATATTAAAGTTAGTATTCCGCTACTTGCACACAATAACCAAACACCTTGATGTACCTCTGCCAGGTAACAATGTTCTTCTGAAAAGTCTAAGGCATCATATTTATGCAAATAGTAACTTGAGCTAATGCTGACACTTTGCCCTCTACCTCCTTTGACTAACTATATGTGCCCAGTGATCGGCCAATCAAGCAGTGAAGGAGGCAGGCTCTAGAAGAGAAAAACTACAGCTTGCATGCAGTAGCAGGACTCTGCATGTAGTTTGTGATGATCTGATATATCGGATATACTAATAAAAAAATACTAAAGATGTTTTGTAAATCTAAACTGGCATCAGACATGACATAACTTACAAATCTTGCAGTGTAATGCAAGTGCAGTGTAATGAGCACTTCATCCTGGGGTTCCCATTTCCATGCACCATTGACAGAACTCACCTTCAGGTTCAACATTTGTGTAATAATTTGGTTCAGCTCTTCTGAATAGCGATATGGGATCCGTCTAAACTTCCCTATTTTGATCTTTTCCGCCAGCTCTTTCTGATTATAAGCAGTAAACGGTGGCCTAAGAGAAAGCAAAAAACTGGTTATTTTAAAAAGAGAACCTGTCAGCCATTTTTAAATATAGAAGCAGCTTTAAAGTTAATACATTAGGGATCTGGCTTTAAGGATTAATCAAGCCTCAATTCAGAACACAGCTTTAAAACCAAACCAAATCTGTCACAAGGAAAACACATAGGGATCACTGGGTTTTTTGGTGCCAATATTGGTTGAGGAAGCATTGCGTACATTTAAAGCGTAATCTATGCTTCTCCAGGAAAGCAGGTACTACTTACGAGAGAGCACATAGTTCATAGAGAAGACAGCCCAATGACCATATATCAGACTTCTCATTGTAAGACATTCTATTCATCTGCTCCTAGAACATAAAATAAAATGCTTGTCAATAGATGATTACAAAAGCATGCAGATAAGGTTTTTAAAATGAGTATTCTCAAGCTGCAAATAAAGTGATAGTGTCAAATGCTAAACAATTAACAAAAAGTGTGCAGAACAGGCAAGGTTGGGGATTTTATGAACAATGTTAAAGTGTTTTAGAAGGCAATATGTGGAGGAGAGAAGTGAGGGTGTGACAGCATCACAAGCTAGCCAGGCCCACCAACCACTCTGGCAAGCCAGTGTGCATCAGAGGGCAGAAGTTTTGCTGTCTGGGTGCTTGCAGCCTAATTGCTGCATTGTCTGGGGGAGGCCTAGAATGCCTGGATGGGGTTCCTGCTGATGGAGCGGTGGTTATGAACAGCTTTAGCATGGAGGAAAGACAGCATGGGTGGCTAGGAAGAGTCAGTTACGAACTGCCTCAGTATGGTGAAGACAGCATAGTTCACACAGTCATATCTGATAGATGGGAGACAGCACTGTGCCTGGCCAACCAGGATCAAACAGAAGAGTGTCAAAGTGCATATTATAAGCGTGAGTGATCACAGCATTGAGAGCACAGTGATCATGTGTACCAAAGTGGGAAACTCAGCAACATATACACCAACTGGAAACAGCATACATGATGCGTTTACTGTTTCACGCCTAAAGTAAATCCAAAAATCTGTGTTTCAGTATGTTGGCATCATGCCCATTATTATCTTAAGCAAATGTACAGCAAAGTTTCTTACCTGCCAGTAATAACAATTCCTGTTGCATGCTGGCAAAGCTAAACCTGACATGCACTCCTTGGAGTCATAGTGCACATGGCAGGCTGACAACACTGCTGTATATTGCTAGAAAATGACTCAGCAATACCAGCCTGCAACAGGAAGTGCTGTTACTTGCAGGATCTCCAGGTCAGAAATTTTGCAAAACAGTCCAAAAACACAAAATTTGCTTAAAGCTGTACTCCAGGGAAACTCCAAAGTTACCCTGTAGTGTGCTTCTTCCTGGACTGCAAGGGTTAAAAGGTGTTTTTTTTTTGTCCATCAGAATAGAAGAAAGCTTTACTTACCTCATCCTTCCCTCCCCAGCAGCTGACACTTTTCCCCTCTTGCCTCTGACACAGATGACCCTTTTGGTTGGAAGCCATGGACATAGGTCCGTTCCACCCAACTAGGATATATTTAGTTTCGCACAAGCCCAGTTGTACCTGCTGCGTTTAAGTCATAAGAACGTAAGACAATAAAATACTCACAGGCGACATGTAGTAAGGAGTACCAACAAATGTTTTAGCAAAACTGGTATCATGGTGCAATATTCGTGCTAACCCAAAGTCTCCAAGTTTTACATTCCTCTTGGCATCTAGAAATATGTTGGCCGGTTTCAGGTCTCGATGGAGAACAGTGTGACCCCCATCACTCCTTCTGTGACAGTCTTTTAGAGCCAAGGCAAGCTGAACAAATACATGCAATATGAAGTCTTCTTCTAGGTACTGCCTGGAAGATAACAGAATGAAAGTAATAGGAGCAGTCGGCAAAGATATGACTTCATAGAATGATGAGAATTTAGGATTCTAAAATTTTGTAAAATTATTTTATTTCCTTCCACCCCCAACAAAGGTAAGATGGTTGTATTCCACAACCTCACAGCCACAAAACATGAGCATTTCAGGCTTTCCCTATAGCCCAGATTAAAACACATAGTCTACCTTTTGCAAAGAAGTAATATACATACCCACATTGATGAAAGAAAAAAAAAAAAAGTGCATTTATTACATTTCTTGTAATGTAAAGCCTTCAAATCACTGCAACTGCGAGTGGATCACAGGGCAATGCACAGGCTCCTGCAGACTATCCAGCCTCAGGCCCATACATTACAAGGATAGAGGAAGCAATCAGTGGATTAGGTGCCATGATGTCAATGCACTTGTGCACCATTGAGGCCACAGAGGAAGACTGACTGTAGTCTATACATGTACAGTGCTTCAGTTACCTGGACATATGAAGGGAAACTGCTTTATTTACCCGCCTCCCGGCTGGCGGGAAACGGTCATAATTTAAAAAAGGCAGCAATGCCTGTTTACAGAAAAGCGATCCGCCGGCTCGCTTGTATGAGGTGCCGATCGCTTGACATGTTTAGTGTCTATTTACCTGACGTACAACAGCAAAAAGTTTCCCAGCACACTCACCAGCCAGCATGCAAAAAAACTTGTCTCGCCGCTAAGGTTAGAAACAGAGGTTTAGATACACGTCTTCTGCAGAAAATGTGAAAGCTGCACAGCCGCGCCAAGGCACCTCTATATAGTGCGGTCCCAACTCTAAATTAGGAGAGTCTCCATCATCAATTTGTAACCAGCTCTAAGCAAGGTGCACATGGAAGGACAATTTGTAACCAGCTCTAAGCAAGGTGCACATGGAGCTGGTTACAAATTGATGAGTGCGTTTGCCATTTGTTTTGCTTGACTGATTTGGTGCAGTGTGGGGTCCCTTGTGCCTTTAAGGAGGCTGGGCTTCCTCCTGACAAACCTGCACCCAATTTTATCTTTCCCATATGTGCTTCAAGATGGAGACTCCGATAGTTTAGTTAGGACCGCACTATATAGGAGGTGCCTTGGCGAGGCTTTGCGGCTTTCACATTTTCTGCAGAAGACGTGTATCTAAAACCTCTGTTTTTATGTTTTTAACCTTTGCGGTGAGACAAGTTTTTTTGCATGCTGGCTGGTGAGTGTGCTGGGAAACTTTTTGCTGTTGTACTGTATTAAGCCCTTCCAAGTGCACCTTGCTTAGAGCTGGTTACAAATTGATGAGTGCGTTTGCCATTTGTTTTATTTACCTGACGTGACCCCATCTTTTTATATTTTACCAAAAATATGGGTAAGAATAAAATGTTTTAACAAAAGGGAAAACTTTTTTTATTTTTGAAATCTTTGGTTCTTTTTTCATTATATAGTATAAATAAAACCCCCAGTGGTGATTAAATACCCCCAAAAGAAAGCTCTATGTGTCCCCAAAAACTGGTATAAAATTAATTTCAGTATAGGTTACACATCTATTTATAAACTGGTGACTTTGATGAGCTCTGCACTCAGTAAATGTCTGAAATATGACTATACCTTTCCTTAGTGCATTGGGCAATAAGACTGGCTAGGTCCCCTCCTTCACAATACTCCATCACAATGTACAGGGTTGTGTTAGTCCGATCAATTATGCGGTCAAAGTAACGGACAATATTTGGATGTCTTAATTCCCGCAGCAGGTTTTACAAAAGGGGACTATTTATAAAATCAGTGAATGTGACATTTACCAAATATTCACTGCAATTGAATCTTCCGATCTTTCTGGTGAATGGGTTTCAAATTACAGGGTATGATTAGCCACTAGTAAGTGTCTTTTCTGAAGCCATCAACTGTGTTAAAGCAGTTGGGACAAACCATATACTGTAACATTGATGAAGGTGCTCAGCTTTTATTATTAGTAGTTTAGATTTTCCAAAAGAAAAAAAAATGTGTTTTCATTGCAGAACAAAAACAGTGACCGTTATACAAAGTGAAAAAATAATGATCTAGGGCTGAATCAAAAAGTCAGGTTGTCACCACAGGGTGTGGGGGGGAGACCAAAAATAAACTGCAACGGTAATATTTCATTTTCATTTTGCCATAGCTCCACTTTAACATTGAGTGTTACAGTCATTCTGGAATGTAATCGAAGGGCTGAAGGTCTTGTCGTGCTGCTCCAGTCTAGTGCTGGTCATTAGTGATGAGCCTGGTGTGAACTCAGTATGCCCAATCCCATGCAAAGCCAACTGCCACCCCCTCCTCCTCCCTACCCAATCAGTTGCAGAGATGCGCATTCCATGCCCCACAGCTATATGTCACAAAAGGGCAGGGAATGCTCCCCGCCACAACTGCTGCCACTTATTGGGCTGGGAGAGGGAAGTGATGGTCACAGTTTTGAGCAGGCTCGGGTGAACACAGGTCAACAGAGTTCACACCAAGCCCAGGCTCATCTCTCCTGGTTACATGTCTAAAAGTGCAGGCCTTTGGTCATATAATCGCAGAGGGAAAGGATTCCCCAACAACTCTTGAACAATATGCAGATCAAGAGTTGACCAGAACTGCTGAGAAAATGAATATCAACGCTGTGCTTCCTCTGTGGATTTTAAGGATTAATTACTCTACAGTACCTGCAGTTACAGAAGTCAGGGAGGGCTTCTTTTCAAACATTTGCTGTGACAAGGCAACTGGCACTTACTCAACCTTTTCAGCGGAGGCGGTCCGCACTTAAATGCCAATTTTCTCTTTTAAACTCCAACTTTCTTCCTTGTTTGCCCAATCATGCGATCCCTTTTCCCGGCTTTATGGTTTTGGATGTCTCCTTTACCTAGCAGGGTCCAATGGGAACACCCATGTGTGCACGCTACCATGATAAGACTACAGTCTCCTGACATACATGTTTCAACCCTGCCACAATCTTTTCAATGAGCAGGCAGGCATGCAATGCACAATGAATGATGGGACAAGTGGAAGTGTTATCTGCTGACTGTTGATGTAATAAAGCAATCACTTGCTGCAATGAGCTGGTTTTACCTACATGGATACGTTTCTGATGAAAAACACTAGGCTTCAGTATTACTTTAAGACTCAGATTCCTATTTGTGAGTGGTTGCTTTAAGCATCTCTTTTGTTTGGGAGCAACCAGAGCTCAATAGTGATTGGTACTGTACTACTGTTATTCATGTTCACATAACAGAATTTTAGAAGGAGGAAACTTTAGCAGCTTTAGCTTCCTGCCGCAGTCATGGCTATAACCAACGATGCTGATAAGACATTTCATCCCTACATGGATCATCCCATAGTACACTTTAAATCTGAAGTCAAGGTAGGGGATTTTATGCCCCCCCCTTCTTTAGATTACAGCCTTAGTAACTATTAAAAAAAAACAAAAACAGATTCTTGCCTAAATACTTACCTGAAACCATGGCCATGGGACAAGTCAGGTCCAAAGACTTTCTTCTGAACTGTCGAGTGGAAGGGTCTTTCAAGTGCCCATGTCGCTATCTGGTGACATGAACACTATCGAGGTGGAATAGGCCAACCTGAAGAGATGAGTTTTCAAGGATCACCTAAAAGGTGGACAGAGTAGGAGATAAGTGGACAGGTTGGGGTAGGGAGTTCCAGAGGATGGGAGACACTCTGGAAAAATCCTGGAGGCGAACATGCGACGAGGGCTGAAGAGCAGGGATCTTGGGAGGAGCGAAGAGGGTGGTTTGGGTGATATAGGTTGGGGCAGAGTTGTAGATGGCTTTACAGGTTCTTGTTAGTACCCCCCAAAAAAACACTTTTTAAACCAAACCGTGTTACTGCCGTGATGATTATGTGGTCAGGAGACGTTTTCATCTAACCATACCACATAGTGAATGCCTTTCCTATACCCAAACAGTCAATAATCTATAGCAACTCGAAGACAAAAAAAATCCTCTACTAAAACCAGACAAGAAACAGATTTATGGATACCCTGCAACTTCTGTCCCAATTCCTCTTACTGAACCCGTCTCAGGGGTAACCTACCGGGGTGTGACGACAGGAAAATCAGCAAAGCAAAGATTTCAGTCAGTTTGGGGAAATGGTCCTTTCCAAACAATTCTTTCAGACACCAACAATCTACACATATCTGCTAAACAGCAGATGAACATGGTCTGCTTCTACATATGAGGCCAACCTTCCAAAGCCTACTGCTTGTATGGGCACAAAGCATCTTCTACAACATCCCAACACACGGCTAGGTCTCATCTGCGTATGGCATGTAGAAGGGACGTCCAGATACCAGTGCCGATACTTGGCATTTTCAGGAGAACTACCGGTGGTTGCAGCCATCATGCTGATCAATATACAAGGAACAATAGAACCTTCTTAAAACAGACGTATCTAAAACGTCTCACTTCCTCACAAAAACAAAAAAGTAGATTCCTTATTTTCGGGCAGCCAGCAAATCCTTTCTTCAGCAAACTACATCCAGAAACAATCGCCCATAAAATGAGGAATAACTCATTATTTTGGGGACCCATGATGAAAGTGATACATGCAGATACCTTCTGTATTAATGTAAATCTAAACCCCCAGTTGGATGGTATTTATCATGCTATATACACAAAACAACTGACGCGTTTTATTCATGAAATCCACTTTTTAACTTTCTTTATCCATCTTGCATCCGAGCTCTGCCGATTGCCCTCAGCCTCTTTCAGACACTTCCTGTCTACATGCACTAAACCATCAGCTGATCATTGCTCTGAACTGGATTCCCAACAGTGACAAGGGTGGACCATGTCTATGCAATCTGTGTCAGCATGGACGCTTGTAGCCTCCATCAGTGTAGCGTGTAACAACACAGAGCACAATCAGGAGAGAGTTGTCACCTCATAACAAGAAGTGCTTGAACAAGAACCTCCATGGCAGGACCACCAGGCATTATTTTAATGAAACCTGAAGAAGATTTAAAGGAATTGGAAAAAAAAAACAACTTTTGAAATGACATGAAACGCATGAAAGCCCGAATGATATTTTATGGAGAGTGTATAAACAAGTTTAGGAAGGCTCTCCTGTGCTTCAGACTAGGTCAGTGCAGGGATTCTTGGTTCCTTCGCACACATCTCACTATCATTCCTCCGATTATACCCTTCAGTCTACAAAGCCATTTATGTGAATGAAGTTGGGAACAAACATTAGATGGTCTAATCATTGGAGAACATTACTCACCAAATCATTTCTGGGCTTTTTGTCTAAGATGAAGTCTAGTGTCTGTTATTCTCACGGTCTGGGATGAGAATCTTGAAATTTCCCATCCTGCAACAGACTTACTGGCTGGTCAAGCCTGATGAAGGGACCATGAGTGGCCCCGAAACGTTGCTTTATGACGTGTGCTGCCACATCCAGTGTCATTTTCCTTATTTCTGCTGTTTCAGTTACACTTCATATCTATATAAATTACGTCACTGTGTTATGCTGGATTTCTAACTACAAGTGTAAGATTAGCATTGTTAGAGCCTAATCTGTGCATACATGGTATCTCCCATCTCACCCCTGCCGTTCTCTATATATTGGTACAGTCTTCTGCTAAAACTCACAGTAATCCCTCTACTCTCTCTCTTTCCACACCACCCTCTCAAAAGGTAAGGGGGCTATGTTATCCTGTGAATGGCTGGATAGGAATGTCTTTTCACTCTAAGAATGGACAAAGAATCACATCCTATGTAAGGAGATGGTAAATAAACTACATTGGATTATACTCGGAGTCAGACACCATCTGTGAATATCACCAAGTCAGTAGGTGGTCATACTGCCCGTACAGACAAGTCCAAGGAAGGTATGTGCAAATGCATAAAGCGGTGGTTGTAACAGAATAGGACGAGGTGTGTGTACATCAATAAAATGACCACTCAATTAAGATTTTACTTAGGTGTGCTGGTGATATACTTTACTATTTGAAGTGGCGCCATCCACCATCACTGCAGCGCCCACTTTAAAAAGGGACATACCAGTAAGGAGTGCGGTGGGAACCTCTTTGGAATTTGTTACTGGCTGGGGAGGCCTAGTGTAACGGTCCCAGGGGAAGTCACTGCATGGCATCTGTAAGGTAAATGCCCGGAGGCTCATCCATACAAATCCAATGTAGGTCAAGAGGCACTCAGGGGGCTTGCAGCAGAGAGTGGTCACCAGCACTTTATTGTCAACGTTTCAACAGAGCTCAGTCAGTCTTTATAAAGACACCCAACCTAGTGTAATGGAGGGGGGTTCAAGGGATCCTCCTTCAAGGGGTGGGAGGTGGCAATGACACACCTAGGGCCACCTGATGAAGGTGGGGTGGTCAGCATTCCTAAGACAGGACAGGACAGATTGTCTCCTGGATTCCACATTGAATTTGTCCTCCCCTGCCTTACAATAAGGAGGGATAGGGGAAGGCAAGGCAGAGAGGCCTCTATACCCAACCCTGGTGGTCCCAGAGAATCACTTATGGGTTTGGTACCTACCGTTTCAAGGTCACATGACTTTTTTCCTCCCTCCACACCGTGGTTTTTACCACAAGCTTATACAGGCCAGTGGAAGAAACCACTGCAGGCAGCAGGGAAAACAGGCATTGGCCCATCTGGCCAGTCAAATACCAGAAGCAGCACGTCATAGACCAAGCTGCCAGAAAGGCAAGCATTGCACCTCCTCTACTCTGGGCATGCTTTAAAGATACAAGGGGACTTTTGCTGTCAGGATCACTTTCACGATATCATATTTATTACAAGCACATTAGATGACGTCACTGCTCTGTATCTGGCCAGGGATCCCCATAACATTTAGCAGAGTTGATCCCTCATGACACACACAGCAGTCACAGCGCCCTCTGGTGTTCATGCATCAATAACAGCCGTTAAACGCAAATACATTTATTGGCAATTCGAACGAACACTCCGAACTATTCCAACATCGAAAGTTGTATCCACTCCCCCTGCAGCACCTCACCTTCCCATCCGCTTTCCTGCGAATTTTCTGACACTTTCCGTAAGATCCGGTGCCTATAGTGTATAGTAGCTCATAATCCTCCACCCGGGACGGCATCTTTCTGCCAGACGCGTACTCCTCACACACCCGTCCTGCGCTCCCCGGTACTATTTTAAAGTGTCTGTAATCCCGTCACCACAGCGGAACCCTACCACCAACACAAACTGTTTAAACGACGTGCTCCCTGCGTCCTGAGCATTGATTGGCTACAAGGGTCACGATCCTCGTCAGCTCATTGGTTCAGGTTTCCAGACTTCCCGTCCCTCTCGCTCGCTGATTGGCGACTGGGAAAAAAAACACGACGCAACTACGCAGCTGTTGTATGTAACTGGAGGAAGAGGCGGGGCGAAGAAGTGGTTTCCAGGTAACCGACGCGGCGCGAAGGGGGCGCGCGCAGCTTCAAACGGATTCTTTCCGATTGTGGGTCATGTGCTACAACCTGCATGTCGCCGAGCAACGGAGGAAGCCAGGAAGTGACGGTGCAGCTGATTATGTAAGGAGGGTTCAGCAGGTTTCCGGAAGTGAGTTTCAGCTGATCGTGTGAGGAGGATGGCAGTGCTCAGTGTATTGGTGGACATGGAGATCCTTATCACTGCTGGTATATTGTGTGAGAGCCTAAAGCTGGCCATACAGCGCTAGAATGTCATACAAACAACTCTCCTCGGAACATTCCATTATAGATATCTGGAATTCCGTTTGATTTTAACGTTCCATTTTGGAATGAATGGAGTTTACTGATGAAAAACCACCTTCAGTGATAGAATTTTGTTGGTTCGAGACATTTTCTGTTCGGCTTCATTTTTTTTCCATCACTGTTGAAAACGATCGTCAATTTCACCCGGTTGGGGAATCGACCGAATGTTCTAAAAACGAGCGTTAAAAGTGACCCTCCGTCTGGTCAGAACATTCAATAACGCCGTCAGAGACTCGACAAAATGTTGTCTTTTTGAAGTCTGATTTCAAATGTAATTCCTTCAGTTAAAGTTAATATTTTATTTATTATAGAAAAAAAATATGCATATGGGTTTGCTCCATAATGTAGGGCTGCAATTAAAAGAGAACTATGGGGTAAGTGTTTTTCCCCATAGTTCTCTTAAGGGTCACGGGAGGACATATACTAACCTCCTCCCGTGACCCAAAGCTCGCTATATACTGAGACCGCCGCAGCCGGAACAGATCCTGACAATACTGTTGAGCTCCACCCAGCTGCGTGAGTGACAGCTGACTCTGACCTATCTAGAGGCAGAGCCAGCTGTGCCCTCCCCCATCCGTTCCGCCAGTCAGTGCTGGAGGATCGGACAGTGGAGGGGGAATCCCTGCGGGGAGCAGTCACTGATAGTCACGGCTGTCTGCAGGGTGATGATCGAGAAGTGAGCGTGCGACGCTATGTGTTCGCTCACTTCCCGATCTATTGAGCCGGCGTGTGACAGTTTCATTGACACACGGCGGCTCGAACTATGAGTTCACTACGAATGATTTTCACTCACCTCATAGTTCTCCTTTAATTATTATTTTCATAATCGATTAGTTGGCCAATTATTCGATTAATTGGATTTAAAAAAAAATAGTAACCAATAGGAAAAAATTGCAGAAAATTCAAAAATGGCTTGGCCAGCTGATTTGAAAAATGTTCCGGAGGGCTTGGCAGCGAAAGGGTTAAGGCCATCTTTTATATAAAACAAAACACGCAAATGCAGCATTACAAACATAAAGTTTACTTCAGAATAAAACTGCACCGCACTGGAATGCACAGCCATGCAGTACCGCGTGTTCCAGTGCAGGCGATCACATTGTGGGTGGGAGGGGCGTTTATGGCACCACAACGCACCTCCCGCAGCAGAATTTGTCAGGCCGAAAATGACTTTTCTGCCAACTTTTATCATTCATAAAACGCCACTAATCCATCGATTTTCATACGATTCGAAGAAAAAGTTTTCCAGCCAGACGACCGATTGAGGAAATTTGTTCAGGAGTACAGTAATTCTAATTGTTCACTTCCCATCAACTGGCCGATTATCGTACGAAAGACCATTGGTGGATGATTTCCGAATAATAATCGCAGTGTATGGGCGCCTTTAGTTAATCGCAGTGCCCTCCTTCCCTCCATTGGCTAAATGCTAATGTTTGGTCAAGAAGCACATTCATTTTTAGGAACGCGTTGTCCACTGCTGGTGCCTGGGTGCTCGTCTGTAAGTGGGACTTACATAGGCAGTCAGACAACTAAACTGGGTGTTCACTATGTCATCAGCTGAGGGCATTTGCATGAAAAAAGATCAATGTGTGCAAATGTTCTCTTCATCTATAAAGAACAACAGTCTGAAGGTTGAGGCTGGATTACAATAGTCAGAGACTTCCTAGAGGTGTAAAGGAATGACCAGAGACACAGATAGCTCCGTGATAATGATAGTGGGGAGATATCTGTCCATCTTCCAGCCACTGAATAATTCGGCCCGGCTGAGATACCGACGTGAACAATGGAGCCCACTTCAATCTTTAACCACTTCGGGATGGGAGCAATTGTTACATTTTTGCACACACATGGTAGAATCTGAATTTGTGGCTAGAAAACTGCTTAAAGAAGAACTCCATGCAGATAAAATCTTAACCCTTGCAGTGAGGCTACCCCTTCACTGTAAGGGTTAAGTGCTCGTTTTATCTAAAGGGATATTTATACTCACCGAAACCACAACCTGGCTTGCTGCTCCAGCAGCTTATAGTCTGTTTAACCCCTTCACGACCCATGACAGAATTATCCCGTCATGGGTCGTGAAGGGGGTTAAAGAGGAAAACTGTTGCTGTAACTGCTTATAAAGTGTAAAGGTGCCCATACACTGCACGATTATCGTACGAATAAAACCCCTCGACGGTCGGAATATCGTACGATCATCGTGCGACGCACCCAACTTGTCTCGCTAGACATCGATCCGATAATCGTACGACCGCACTAATAATCGTACGATTTCGATCGACCGACGGAAGTAATCGTTTGATCCCGAGCAGTGGGAGTCATCGTTCGTACTATGCCCTTTAAAGGGCAAAAACCACGTGCATTCTCTCCCACACTTGTTGAAAGCAAACGATGGCTGAGGATATGAGTAGCATGGCTATTGTGATGGTTGGTGTTGCTGTCATTCATGCTCGCCAGCAACGCAGGTCATCGCAGAAACGTGACATTTATTCGCACGTTGCTTTGCTGCATGTGGGTACCAGAACAGAGGTGTGGATGCTGCGAGTACAGCCAGCTGCCGTCATTCTACTTCCGATTGCTCGATCGTTTAACACATGCACTGAACGAACCGTGCGATCATTGACGAACGATTACTCTACTCATTGAACGATTATCGTACGATTACGCACAGGTTTTCGAACATGCTAGGTAGTCAAACGTCGTACGATTGTACAGTATCCGGTGTTGCACGCTACCCAGACACTGCGCGATTATCGTACGAAAAACCGATCGCGTACGATAATCGTGCAGTGTATGGGCACCTTTAGCTGGATTTGGGCTTTTATTTTATTGTCTCTTACCGAAAGTCTTTTTAAAACTACATGGAGTTTAAACAGCTCCATTGAAGACTACCTTGTCCCCCACTGCTGTGAGATTTCACTGCAAAATATACAGTGTGGTCACCCTGTAAAAGGAAGTGGAAAAATAATAGATCTCCCAGCAGAGTAAGCAGGTAATAAAACTGATATCGGATGTCATTTGTTTATTTTGCCAATATTCCCACTTTGAATAAAATCTAGTGATCCTGAAAGTAAAGTGTATTTGCAGGCACTTCCTATTCTAGTATTGTAAACTGACAACACTTAATCAATTCAGCTGTGGTGTTGTCACCCTTAGGGCACACTCTGCCATAGTTACTACAGTAATGTTTTGATGTCCCAGTGCAAGGAGAACACATTTTGCAGTCCTCTAGAAGGAAAATATTGCAAACATTGTACAAAATATATTTTTGTTTCATGAGTTCAGTTCTGTACTACACGGTTGTTCTGAACAAACAGGGAACACCTCACTGATGTAGTCCTGAAAATGTCCTGTAGAGGTCAGCATTGCAAATATTGTACATGTAGTGAAGCTCATTTATGATCAATAGATCTGATGGAGATTGGTATGGGAAGGGGGTTTAACACCGCGGATGTCAACTGGTTAAAGGTGCCCATACACTTTACAACTCTCGCAAGACTTTTGTCTTGGAAGAGGGTTGTAAAGTACTTAAAAAAAAAACCGTACGATCTGCCCATCTTGGACAGGCAGATCGTACCTGCGATCATTGCAAGCCCACCCCCCTGACTGCAACGCTGAACGGGCAGTAATCTCTCGATCATGTTAAAAACCAGCCGAAAGCCGTACGATTCGCGGCTGGTTTTCCAACATGCTCTTTTCTTTTCTTTCCAACATTACTTTTCTTTTAAAGTGACACTAAACTCAGGAGTTACATCTTAAAAATACATTCCAGTACCTACACAAATAAGATACATTGTTATTAATAGTGTATCACTCGGCTGTAGCTCCTCAAATCATCTCTGAATTGGTGCCGACACTGTGCTTCCTTCTGGAGGGGGGCTACTTGTGTTCCCCGTGGTCCGTGTGTGTGTGTGTGTGTGTTGCAGTGACGTGCCGTACCTCTTCCTTGGGGGTTAGGCGTTCCCCAGCCCACAGAAGCCCTGCCCCTAAGCTAGTGTAAAGGAGGAAGGGAGGAGCCCCCCTGTCCCTCACTTGCTCCTCACCGCTGAGGCTCCGTGACAGGTTACACAGCGGGGAGGATTTCCGTGCTGTGTAACCTGTTAGATGCTGATTTGAATGGAGAAAAAGCTTGTTAGCTTCAGGCATGAAGCTGACAGCTTTTTCCTCCATAATTCTAGGTGAGGCTCTGCCTCCCCTGGCCGCATGTCCCTGGTGTGTTGTAAAGTAGTCATTGGTAGGTATTGGGATTGCAGTCCATCACAGGAGTGAGCTTGGAGTGGTGACTACTTTACAACACACACAGGGACCATGGGGAACAAAAGTAGCCCCCCTCCAGAAGAAAGGACAGTGTCAGCACCAATTCAGAGATGATTTGAGGATCTACAGCCGAGTGATACACAAATAAGATA